AATCTGTAACTTCCCCACAGGAATGAGGGCAGCGCCTTCGTTCTGCTGTTGTTGACCGCTGTAGCCTCAGTGCTCTAAAACCACTGGTCTGTAATAGGCACTCTTTCAATACCTAAGTCTTATCTTCTTACTTGATGAAACATTGCATTTAGAGCCTTGGAATCTGGGAAAAACTCCCCTGAATGAAAAATGTCTTGTAAACTTCAAATTCTGAAGAATGAATTGGGTCACGAGAGAAGCAAAACACCTGCCCAGTGAGACAAACGGAAGACACTGCTGGGAAAAATGGCAAGTACAGACCGGCCTGCCTGTCTCCACATCCGTCCAAACTTCCCCCGGCTATGAAAGAGCCATGCCAGGAGGACACTGGCATCTCACATGATGCCCTTTCCCCTCATAACAGAAACGAGGGCATTCGGGCAGTTCGTGGAAAGTTTTACATTCGGTTTCCATTTGTGATGTTTACACTTCCGGATGGGCAGGGAGGGATGAGGTCTTGCTACTTACTGCAAAGAGCTGGACGTTCTGAGACTCTGAGCTGTCACCAGTAGCTAGTTTTTAAAAACCAAGCAAAAAGCCACAAGGTGAGACCAAACAATTATGGACCAAAATGTTAATACTCATTAGCAGTTAAAAAATAAATCTAAAAAAGTGTTAATTAGGAAAATCATTTATTTCTGTTCCTTCCATACATCTTACTGTTCAGGAAGCAGTCCTTCACATGCGCCTGGACTACCGGCGCCCTGTTGAAAAGCCCAGCACCCCAGGGAGCGAGGGCCGGTTGTGCAGGCCTCGGCGTGCAGAGCCCGCTTCCCGGTTTCACAGTGTTTGAGAAGCAGAGCGTCTTCTCCTATCAATGCTAAGGGGCTGCAGAAATCAATCACTTTATTCAGCATTCTAGTTGGAGAAATGGAGTATATTTTCTTTAAGAAATGAAACTCTAAAAAGAAAATGCCATGTAACATTGGTGGCACGTCAGTCTCGGTCAGCAGAGAGGAAGGGAGAGAACACTGCAATGAGCCGGTCTCTGATGGTCCCAAGAGGAAATTCCAGCCCCAGCTTGCCTGGGACGCCTGGGACTGCACACATTCTCCTTTCTCTGCGGCTTCTCATCCTTTCAGCATCGGGGAACGGCACACACACCCTTGACAACTTCATTCACAGGGCCAAATCCAGCATCCACTGAGTTCTCCTTCAAACGTCCTCTACCCCATCAGGTAGCCCCTGTAGAAATAAAATATATAACACAAAACGTAAAAAAGCAACTTTTCACAATGTCCAAATTATCTCCGGAAAAATTAGAAATATGCAAAACATATTTGCATGAATCTTCATTGTGGTTCTCATTTAAAATCTTGCCTTCCCTGCCCCAAGAAGATACTTCGCATAGAGTATATAATTACAACCCAATATGCCAATCAATACAGAATGAGAAAAAGAACGTTGAAGAGTAAGAATCAATTTCCTGTGAACTCTCACAACTATAGTAAAAAGATTGCAAAACTTGCTATGGACAGAAGCTACTTCGGAATTTCTAAAATCCTGATAGCACCAGAAGAGAAGGTGGGAGAATTTGGTGCTATTCACATCTGGGAGGTGAAGCCACACCTGGAAGGTACATCCTGCAGCCCACAAGAAACGTGTTGGAGCACGTGACCTTGCACCTGCATTCCCTTAGGAAATGTCTAGAAGCACAGCCAGAAAGTTCCTGAGAGGCAAGGATGGCGAGACTTTGGACATGTTGCCAGGAGAGACCAGTCCCTGGAGATGGACATCATGCTTGGTAAAGTGGAGGGGCAGTGAGAAAGATGAAGCCTTTTGACAAGATGGATCAATACGATGGCTGCAACAATGGGCTCAAACATGAGGACAATTGTGAGGATGGCGCAGAACTAGCAGTTTTGTTCTGTTGCGCACAGGGTGGCTCTGAATCGGACCCAACTGGAAGGTACCGAACAAGTGGGGCTGTGAGTCAGGTGATGGACCATTGACTGCAGTGGGAGAGAGAAGTCCAGGTCCGAAGTCGCAAGATAGGGATGAAAAGCCCCCTCACATGGTTGAGAGCTACTACAGTGCCTGGGACGCAGTGGGCATATTTGCTTTCCTTCTGCAGTCTCTCTACTCACTTGCCTCCCTACACAGCTCACATCTCTGTCCAGCCAACCCACAGCCTTTCCTTCTGCTGCGTCAGCCTGACCCAGCCGAACGTCTGTCAAGTGGACATCAGCTCATATGGGCACTGTAGGACAGAGCAGAGCTGCTTCAGGAGGCTTCCGAGGCGGTGAATCTTTACGGAATCAGATTGCCACAGCTTTTTCTCCCTTGCCGGGGCAGGAAGGTTTGAACTGCCGACCTTATGATTAGCCGAGCACTGTATCAACATGGCTCCTATAACTGACAACTTGGACACACTCTCACAAACATGCTAGTGCAATGCTTGCTATTTCATAAGATGGATCCTTGAAGATCTATGTCTCCAGGTGAGGAGCCTGGTGGTGCAGCAGTTATGTGTTCGGCTGCTAGCCATAGGGTCAGCCCTTTGAAACTACCATTTGCTCCTTGGAAGAAAGATGGAGCCTTCTACTCCCACAAAGAGGTGTAGTCTCAGAAACTCAGTTCTACCCTGTCCTATAGGGTCGCTATGAATTGGCATTGACACAATGGTGGTGAGTTTGGTTGGTGCTCGTTTGGCACGGATTCCTAACTTTCTCAAAATATGAGGGCATGCATCATTATATTTAGTCTTTGCGACACTTTTGAAGAGGTGGTGATACAAATATTTTTCCCATTTGCCAAGGGGGCAGTTAAGCATCTGGCCCAAAAGGTCAGAAAGGACAGGCACCGCACTTCTTCCATCCCTGGTCCTGCACGTGGAAGCCAGCCCTTCTCTCAGAACAGCCATGGTCTCTTTGCTTCTTTTAGAAATGGTGGCCAGCACCCAACCTGAAACACAGAACTTTAAGGGCTCTCTGTTTATTGTAAAAATGACAAAAATAAGAGTGATACCAAACTTGAGAGCTGTAAAACACCCTCCTGTCTAATCAGGGTGGTAAGTCTCTAGGGCATATCATTAGCTTCACTTAATGTGTGTGAAATCCGGGGTCAAGGAAGCTCAGAGAGCAGAGTCATTTCAGTGCTAAGAAGGAGCAACCCCAATGCCGCGTATTAGTTCCCGAGCTTCATTCCTTCTGCTACACATTGTCCTCGGCAGTTGTACAAGTGTCTTCTTATGAAATAATTCTCTTACTTGCTAAAAAAGAGCCCTGAGTACTAGAATCTACCACCAAAACCACCTGGATTATTCAGAAGCTAGACTTCTGATAAGGTATAATTGTCAGAAGAAGAATTCCAAACTGGAAGCAAATGAAACCAAAAACCCACTGCCATGGAGTCAATGTCACCTTAGAGTGACCCTTGTATTGGGTTTCCAAGACAGGGAACCTTTATGGGGGCAGACAGCCTCATCCTTTTCCCTCAGAGCTGGTGGGTTTGAACTCCTGACCTGTGGTAGCAGCTCAATGCCTAACCCACACCATCACCAAGGCTCCTTAGGAAGTAAAGGAACGAGACCCTCAAACACCTGAAAAGGCACTTTCCTGGAGCCAGACCTGATTTAAAATGGTTATCTGTTTCCTCATATCACACAAGATAAGAACCTTCAAGTGAAGAGGGGAGAGAAAGATGGAATTACAGTAAGTGCCTACTGACATGGAGCAAAGGCACATGTTACATCGAGGACAGAAACAGCAACAATCCTGAGTGTCACACCTAAGTACAAATGTAAGGTGTTCAACAGCAGCCTAACAAAATGTAAAATGTCAAGAAAAATAATGAATGCGCACCAAACCAAACTCACTGGCCTCCAGTCCGCTCCGACTCGGTGAGCCTGCAGGACAGGGTGGGACCGCCCCTGTGAGTTCCCCAGACTGTAACTCTTTACGGGAGTAGGAAGCTGAATCTTTGTCCTGAGGAGTGACTGGTGGATTCGAACTGCTAACCCTGTGGTTAGCAGCCCAAGGTACGTTTCGTTACTGTGCACAGCAAATAATTGGTGTTAAGTAGTAAATTTTTGCTAAAAACAGATGTTGAATGATTACGATGATGACAAAAAAATCCTTTGATTGTATTGTTTTGCTTTTCATTTCTCTCCTTTAAGAGATCTTCATTTGACAAAACAGTAAGTTATAAATTATCAAGGGCTCGTGAGGGAGGGGGACGGGGAGGGAGGGGAAAATGAGGACCTAATGCTGGGGGCTTAAGTGGAGAGCAAATGTTTTGAGAATGATGAGGGCAATGAATGTACAAATGTGCTTTACACGG